TCGGGCAATCGATCGGGCAATCGATCGGGCAATCGATCGGGCAATCGAACGGCGAACGGACGGACCGACGGACAGACGGACGGACGGACGGACGGACGGACGGACGGACGGACGGACGGACGGACGAACGAACGAACGAACGAACGTACGAACATGTTTCTAAGTGTTGTCCAAGAACATATTTCTATAGCTTTTCGAAATAACCGCTGTTGTCTTTCTTGAACTAAAAATAATAATGATTGAAAAATACTGTGACTTTTAACTTCGACTATTCCACCATTCAAAATTAAAATCAAAATAATATTTATTTCACGCGATACATGCAGCCGTAGACGCATACCACACTTAGAGGTGCCGGTGATGATTTTATACCGATTTATCGGATATCGAAGTTATAACAGGTAAAAGAACTAATATTAATTGCTATTTCGGTAACTACTCTAGCAAACCATAAAGTTTTTAATGCCTGGGTCTGTCATTTAAAAAAAATAAACAACTTCAAAAATACGTCCCGACAATCCCGTGTGTTATTGTTTGGGCTGGTGATTTCGGCGTTTATTTATTGAAAACATACCGTAAGTAGCGTTTTTTAAGTTTACCTTAAACTATACTTTAAGGAGTAATTTCATGGTAAACGTTAGAACCACTCAAACGGAATCATATTTTTTTTTTAATATTTTTTATTTTTTTATTTTTTTTATTATCATATTTATCTAAGTACACCAAAAATTTCATTAGTGCTTTTTAAGTGCAGGATTTGCGGTGTATTACTGCATTTTATTTGAAATGTTTTTGTTGGTAGGACGGAGGTATTTATTTAGCTATGCAGAATAATAATTTTTATTTATAAAAACTTGTATTTAAACTGAATGCTTTTCTAATTTGCGAAACCAAATAGCCGCCATTTTGCGGTAGGAGGAGCGCATCGCGTGAGCGGCTAAGTCAGCATTATTACACTTGAAAATGTAACATTGGTTGAACTCTACCGCTCATTCGTAAGGCAGATTCCCCTGAAAAGAATGAGCAAGAAACTCTAGGGGTTGCTCTTTGTAAATAACATTTGTACGCATTCAACATTTACATATATTTTCTTTTTGCTTTCAAACATCAAAAAATCGACACTACCTTGAGCTATACGGGTTACTACCACAGATTTGTGTCATCCAAGTACGCAGAAGTTAAATCTTTCGTATAAAGTTTTTGTTTCACTATAGTTTTATATCTCGTGACAGGCAAATTTTGTATATCAACCGGAATCTTGTTATAGAAGCGTATACACTAGTCGTAGACGACTACAGGTAGTTTATTTTTATTCCTCGTAATAATGTTATGTCTGTCACTATTTTTCACAAAGAAATTACTATTCCTACCATTCATAAACGTACTGTGAGGCTAGTGTAAGAATGTTAATTTCCTTCAACTTATCTCTCAAAAACACTCTGGGGGTAAATTGCCCTAACCGCACGTTTCTGCAAAACAAAGATTCTATTGATATTGCATTACCCCGAAGCAAAAAAAATGTAATAGTAACTATAAATACTTCCAAGTTGACTGAAGGCGGCCTGTACCCTTTGGCAGCTGAATAAAACCCGACGACAACCGAAATACGAAGCTTGCCGAGGGACATTGCCATAACAGAAGCACTGTACTTGCCTGGACGAACTCTGTCACTGCACTTTCTTTGTTAGCGATTTGAAGCTCTGAGTGGCACTGCATCTGTTATGTATAGGCGTGTAGCCTACCACCAAGCACACGACTTAAATGTCCCGCCACATGATATTATATAACAAAGACAAAGCAATATGAAAAGAGATGAGATAACACACAGTAGATAAGAAATATGCTTTCTCGAATAATAGCGAAATAGGATCGATTTAGTACCGTCTGTACTGCTCACTCCAAATAAGAAATAGAATGGATAGTATTGAGTACCGCGAGAAACAATGGACACAAACCATTTTCTTAATGTACAGTCAACAGCACACCAATCTATTTATTTTTGTTCGAACATCGCCGCCAATGCAACGGAACAAGATCCGTCAAACGTGTAGCTAGATGTGTTATCGTACATAACGGGTGCGTATACAAAATATATCTATGTAAAGTTCTTCATGTCACGAATTAGTTAGGTAGAAACTACGAATTTCTGCATTACTTACCTTCCAATCTGGTTCAGTAGGGTTGTTTATCAAGTCCACATCGGCTGAAAAAGAGAAACAATTTTACAATCTCATTCATATTTTCAATCTAATTGTTTTTATTTTCATAACTCATTCCCATTTTCCATAGCCCTAAAAGTTTTTAAAGAACGCCCGGGGTACATGAGGGGAGTCGGGCGGCGCGGGCCGCATCCTGCAAGTACGCTTAATTTGCCGGATCGAGCGCTAGGGGTTAACGTGTACGTATTTTAAAATATTTTTGAACACGTTCAGCGAGTTCAATTAAAAGAATTGTATCATATATGTACATAGGGTTATTCATACAATACTTATTATACGGACACATTTCATATTACATATTAATATTTATACGGACACATTTCGGGGAGTGTGCACAGGAACTTTTTAATTTGGTTCCACCCTCACCGTTTCTCCTTCGGTCGACTAGAAGGTTCGGAATACCCCATCCTTATGCCGTTGATTTACCACGATACGTACGACAAAAGAATGAAATACTCTACTTGTGTTTCCCGAAAAGCACAACTTGGGGCTATTGGCGGTGAATAGGCATTTTTTAGACAAACGCGTACCGTCGTCGGTCACATCGTAGCTTAACATCAGGTGAGATTGTGGCCAAGCGTGTGTCTATTTATAAAAAAACAATACTAACAGCTTCGCTGTATTATATGACTAACAACATAAACAACAACTTTTGTTCCATGAATCATCATAAATGAAAGACTTGTATGAGCACTTGTGCCGACGTCGGTACACTCCACGGTAGGCACTCATCGCATAACCTTGTGCGAGTGACGGAGCCCTGGTATGGGTTTTTGTTTAATAGAGCAGCAACTGTGTACAAAATAGTAGCTATACCACTGAAATTGTGCTTTTGTGGCTATCACAGTGGTAGCTCCAAAGCTGCCTATTTATATAGCTACATAGTGGTATTACATGATCTCGCAAATCTACACATTTCTATAGTCTGTGTTTTAGACGGAGTGAAATGACAGTTCATTGAGCAAGTGTTGCCCGCTTGCGAGCAACTAATTTATCGACTATCGACTGAATGTTGGTCACGCTTAAGGAATAAATAGCCGAACTTGTTTCATTTTAACCATCCTCGACCAATTCATCCAATTACTGAGCACAAGTTCATTTGAATTGTAAATTTTTGTAAGATCACTATGCTTATAAAAATACAAAGAGGAGACGTATTCTAAAGTTTTTAATTTTAATTCAACATAGATAATCAAATCCGGCTATTCTTGTTGAATAAAAATTTATTTCGATACTAGTAGGCCAACTGTCGAAATAAGAATAAAATAACGCATTAGTAATTATTAAAACGTCGTAACATTCAAACTTCAGTCATGTTTGACAATTTATCGATAAAACTATCGACAACAACATAACTATTTAAAATTTTATAAAAACTGGCAACCTTACAAAAGTTATTTTACTCCATCTTCAAGAAAGACAGACCATAGGTTTTTGTCACCAATTTGTAAATTTTTTTTAAATATATGATATTGATTTGAAATAACATATGAACATAATGTTATTTTTTTCTATAAATATAGAGAAACCCGAAAACTTGTACGTTTCCTCAACAGTCGATACAACCTTAGCTTGAATTCAAATGTTTCCGTACTAATAAATTCATTTTGCTTGGGTCGCGCGGCGGGGCCACTTGCTTTATTTCAGAATTAATATCTTTACAAACGAAATTAAGGCCGTCTGAAAAATATATATTGTACTATACTGTCGTCCACTAACTAAAATGTGGCTAAGTGACAAATGGTCAAATAACCGTTTTAAACATTGACTTACAAATAAATGGACGACGGGTCTAATACAAAAACCACGAAAAAAATGTCCCAAGTCAATCTATTTAAACGTATGGACATGTAAAGGAATATGAAAAAGCTAAAACGTTGAATTTAAATTGTAATGTCATCGCAATACTGTCTAATTTTGCTTGCTTCGCTGTCAGTCGAACAAACGAAGACTAAAGCGTGAATGACGCTCTGTATACGATTTTAACGCTCTTTAAGTTCGGACACTTTTTAGCGCGGACCCGACGTCCATATAATTGTAAGTCAATGGTTTTAAATAAAAAATTAAAATTAGTTAACACGTACGACTTATCGGAACTTACCCTAACGATACATAGCTGAAATATCATTAAACAAATTTCCATATTCTGAAAACGGGATTATGGTTTTATTATGATACCTCAAAAAAATATTTTGTCACGTTTTAGTTAGCGGTCGGCAATAAGTATACATGTTCTATTTAGTTCAGTTTATACAAAAAATTGTAATTGGTTTATTTATTGAATACAGCGGATTTTTGCAAAATTTCGAGGTAAATTTGCGTTTTCTTTTTCTGTCGTGAAAACTTTTACGAATCATGTTTTCGCACCGTATGCTAAGTAATCAGTACGTAATCCTCAATTTTACTTTCATTGATTGATTCGAAACTTTCATTGTTATGAAGAATCAACCAAAGGCTTTATTCAGAATGGCGGCGGGCGCGGGTGCGTGTAAATATAATGTACATCTGTTGCGGGTACATCTGTTGTCTCGGTCCGCCCGTACCTTTCACAGTGCTTGCTCTAGCGTCTAGCGTCTGTTCGCGATTTCGACGTGCGGGTCTACCCGCTCGTAGCCGCTTCGGCACTGAGATGGAAGACGCCAAGACAATTTTTCATTGTCCTGACTTTTTTGCAGGGAAATAAAGTTTTTTTTAGTTAGGCTGCTAACAGTTAGTGGTCGTTATGAACTTCATGCAGTCGTGTTCTCAGCTGCGTGTAGTTGGTAACGATTTCTCGCATTGCAAACATGCAGTCCACCTGTTAGCTGCCTGAGCACCAATTAGAAAATTATATTTATAACCCAGAAATAAAAGACTTGTTATCTAAATAATCGCAATTGTTTCCACCCGTTATTTAGAATAAATGTTTAATTTTACTTACAAGGTAACCCAGTGTTGTGCATATCATCGTCGTATGGATCGTCATCTTTGTCGTGGTTTTTATCGTCGTCATCTGAGGTATCAAATGCGTTTCGACCATCTCTTTGATCATCCTTATACCTGCTGTCTAGCTCGTGAAGACTCTCAGTCATATATACTATTGTTTTTTGGAAGGTCACCATACAACTGTACAGGTATAAGAGGTAGTACGTGGTCGCGTACCTTGTATGGTTCCTGGAATGTAAATGTTGTGAATAATACTGGTTGTAGCACAACGGACGAAATATATTTCGGTAGGTTGCAACGATGTCTATGTACTAGCGTACTAGTTTCACTGATGTGCAGTGAAGACGCTGCACTACATTTAGTTGGTTGTCAAACATTCAAGATGGCTGACGCGGATTCGGTCCTCTTTAAAAATTTATTTACATCGGTGTGGTGCACACATTTCGCTGTTTGACTAATTATGCGATCATAAAGTTTGGTTTTTATGCATTACAATATTTGATAGACGCAATGGGAAAACAAAAAAAAATTAAGGAGGGAATTTTAGAAAACAAGGGACTTGCGACGAATCAGCGGTGATAACGTTAAAAAAATAATTCAATTTTATATCGGCGATCGAAAGAGAAGGAAAAAGATGGAGATATTCATGTCTCTACTTCGCTCATGTAAAGAAAAGTAGTTGTAACCAGTTTGGGAAATGACTGTTAAAAATCTGAAATCACCATCCCCAATGCATTCGCGATCGACGTATAGTAAATTTATTGCGGTTCTAGCGTGCTCTTAATAAACCACAAAAAATATTTTTTGACTAAAAAGTCGTTGAAAATCAACTACTAACTACTGGTATAGTGTCTGCCACGTTTGCTAGAAGACGTCGGTTCGAATCCGGCCGGATCTAAGGAATTTTTTCTGAGTGTTCGATCTTTGTATTAATAATTATCACTATAAAGATATTTTATAACCGATTACACTTACCTACTGGCGTAAAATTTGACGACAAGGTTGTATATTTCTACCATTTGCTGATATTTTGAGACTAGATTGTACGTCATGTAGCCTATTTCGTAATGTTTGCTGCCCCAGTAAATCTCCCTGTACTTGTAATGTCTGTAGATATCCTTTATTCTGTAACACATACAGAGGGCGGGTGTGTGTCAGGCGTGTGTCAGGTCGGGAGAACGCATCGAATATAAATAAGGCGCACTATAAGTTTCCGGAACTGGCCACTTACATTAACAATATTTAAAAAGTAATTAGAACATTTGAAAATGGAACACTTTGGCTGTAGAATACAGTTTGTTTCATCTAACTGTCACTTGTTTTTACATTGTGGCGTCGTTTTAGAAATTGGTTGTCTACATCGCCATGGATTTAACTCGTGAAAATTTTCGTAGTATGATTTTCTACGATTTCAAGTTTGTTAAATTATTAACAGGTCAGGGAGCTTCGCTCGGCTTCAAACTGTTTTTGGCGATGAAGCACCACACAAGACGACTATTTACAGCTAGTTTGCAGAATTCAAACGCGGTCGTATGAATCTCAGTGACGAATTTCGTGACGGTCGCCCGACCACTGCTGTGAACAACAAAAACATCGATGCTGTGCGCCATATGATCAAAACAGACAGGTACTCGTATGTGACGTACGATGAGATTCGGGCATCTTTAGGCATAGGCATGAGTCAAATACAATAAATACTACACAAACATTTGGGTGTGAAAAAGCTGTGCTCTCGGTGGATCCCACACAATATGACTGAGGCTCAAAAAACGGATCGCGTCACTTGGTGCGATGCCATGCTTACCAGATTCAACGAAGGGGCGTTAAATTTAGTGTGGGACATAGCAACAGGTGACGAAACATGGATTTATAGTTACAATCCCAAAACAAAGCAGGCATCGAGCGTATGGGTGCGAAACCAACCAAAGTGGCGCGCATGCAAAGTGCCTCTAAGCGGATGATTACTTCTTTTTTTAATAAAACTGGACACGTGGCTACTGTTGCTTTGGAGAATCGTTGTACCGTGAATAGTAATTGGACACAAGCATTTGTTTGCCGGAAGTTATTGACAAACTCACCATGATAATGCCAGTTCTCACACGGCCAGACAGACAAATGAATTTTTGAAGGTGAACAACGTTGACCTTATGAGTCATCACGCGTACAGTCCCGACTTGACACCTTGTGACTTTAATTTATTTCCAAAAATTATAATAATAATAATAATAACGCACACACTCAACATAGCCCCGCACTAGGGAAACCCTATGTCGCGGGTGCCATGGGCACATACATAGACAAACACAAATTACACCCAAACTCACGAGAGAAATAAATGCAGGCCATACAAATATTTCTCCCGGCCCGGGAATCGAACCTAGGACCTCTGCGTGGCAGTCCGGCATGGTAACCGTTCGGCCACGGAGGCAGTTAAAAATTAAGAACCAGTTACGCGGTCAATGATTTTCATCACCCGAAGAGGCCGTTGAAGAGTATGTAAAATATGTTTCAGAGATAGTCACGGAGGCGTGGCACAAATGTTTTCAAAATTGGTTCATTCATATGAAAAAGTGCATTTACACTAACGGAGAATATTATGAGAAACAATAAATTCATTTCTGACCATTTATAGTATTTTTTTCTTATTCATTCCGGAAACTTACAGTGCGCCACACGTATAACAAGAAATAAAGACGAAATGTCATTTGATTTCTTTGAAAATTCTGCCAAATCATTACGATGACAACTGCGCTACAATTGGCCAGCCCGAATTCAAAACAATTGACGGGTGTCGTCAATTGTTTCGCTTCAAAACGATCAGTTTGACTTCAGCTTTACTATAATGGACGAAAATTTAAGAATTGCATATTTAATATTTACTTCCCGATGAAATGTGATTCCGTTTGTTTTGTAATTAGATGTTTTGCTGTTTTTCCCACATTACCGAATGGAACAGCCCCCATTGTTAGAGGTATTATCTTTATTACAATAAATACAGAATATTTTTTAATATACGGATACGTACGCACAGGTCAGTTGTTGGCGTTGTACTATTTCAGCTTTCTAATTTGTGATTTCAGCGCAAACGAGAGTTGATGTTTAATAAGGCCCATTTACCTGATGAGTTGCCAGGGATACATGGCCCTTATTTCGTTTCTATTTCTGGTTATTCCATGATTGAATATCATGATGTTTGTAAAACTACCATGTAAAGAATAAATACGAACCCAGATTTGTAAGTAGAGTTTAACGTAGCACACGCTTTTCTAATACTGCCTACTGTGAATGCGTGAATAGCGAATCGTTTTTTGAATCGTATGTAATGTTTGCGTGTAGGTATCGTCCCATGTGTCACTGGAACAAATAACGTAATAACGATGAGATAGATTTAGACATAGAGAGACAGAGAAACCACACTTCCTGAGATGAATAAGTGCCCGGGTTTTAATGCCCAAAAGCGAGGGCACAAATAATTTAAAATCAAAAACAATGTAAATATTTGTTATAATTATTAATACAAACGTCTTCTAGCCAACCGTGGTAGACGCTATACCGACTAAACCATGGAACGAACCAGCGGACATCACCAATTTTTCTGTGTGCTTGTTGTCATATCTTTGTATTTGGTTTTTAAACGACTTTTTAGCCTTTTTTTGTATTCGTAATTATAACAAACTAGTGGAGCAATTTCACAAAAATATACTTGAAAAAAAATTTAAATGTTTGTTTTATATGGAGTTTTGGTCAAATTCTATGACATAATTACAAAATATCTATTGCTAAA